CGATGTGGGGCTCAAAACCTTGGGCTATGAGATCAGGACCTGAGCCAAAGTCGGATGCTCAACCGACTGAGCCACCCAGGAGCCCTGTTTTTTTCTGATTATATAAGTAATAAAAGCTTATAGAAAATTCCCAGCAGCCACTGAAATTCCTCATGAGTTAAAACTAGGGCCAGTAGTGTTGCTCTTGGGGCAATCAGCCTATTCTGCTACTTGATCAAGAACTTTGGGTCTCTCTAGAGCAGGGATTCCCCCCCCGCCCCCCCCCTGCCCCGGGAAGTAAGCGACTCTTGAGACTATTCCTCATTTTCTTTGATCTTCACAATCTCCCTTAGATATGGGTATGGTTATTTCTTTTTCAAATGAGAAAAATAGTGCTTAGAAATGTTCATGAATTTGCCCATGGCCTCAGCGGCCATTTGGTGGAGCCAAGATTCTTGCCACACATATCAGAGGATAGAGCCTTTATTCTAGGGCGCCTGGCACCTTTGTTTGTGGTCACTAAAGTCTCCAGGTAACAGGAAGCTTCACTCAGGGGCCCTTTCCTGAGATTTTAGGAAATAGGGACATAACAACTCGTTGCTTGGCTCTTAGAACTTCATTGTCACTTTGAAAACAGTTTTTAAGACTTGAGCTCTGATTCATTCAATAAACTTTTTTATTGGGAATTACAACAGACATACCAAAAAAAAAAAAGGTGTGTAATTCATTCTTTTCATACCTTTCTGCAGTAGCAGATAGAATTGCTCTAATGTGTGTATTCTTCACTGAACTTCTCTGCTCAAGCATGTGGTGCCTCTTCTGTGGGTGTCTTGGCTGGCTGCCAGGCTTTGGAGGTAGAAGAGACTGCTTAAAGTCACTGTGGACTCATGGTCCATGGAAACAGCACCTGTGTATGCTCATGACGGCAAGAGATGTCACACATTTCCTCTGTAAATGCACCAGACTTGGTGTCCTGGAGTTTGAATCCAGTGGAGGCCAATAAGGCATGGAGTTTCATACTTCTGTCCCCATTGATCGTTAGGACTGAGGCCCTGGCATGCTCTACTGCAAGGGGCCAATGACTCAGCCAGGCCTGTGACCTGACGTTAGGGATGTCTCTTCCTGCCAGTTTCCGTTCTATAAAACTTAAGTTAAACAAAGAAGTGCTCATATATATTACAGAGAGTGTGACTGGTTACCAAGAAGTCTGCCTGATGGCTTTTAGTCTATGAGTTTATGGAAATGAAAAAATAATTAACTTAAAATCGCAATTATTATGATATTGGCATCCTCATTTAATGTCTTAATTTTTTAGAGACTAGAGCATTTCTGTATGTTAGGACAAATGCAGAGTCATAGCCAGATGAGCTTGTTTTGAGAGTTTCTGCTTTCTGTGAGTGGATGGATTCTGTTCTGTCTGAGGGTAGATCCAGCCTCAGACCTAAGGGGGTGGGAGAGGTGTCCAGGCCAGAGTGTGATTTCTAAGGACCAGGGCTGATAGTAAGGGGATGGGCAGTGAGAGTAAAGAAGACACCTGCATAACTAAGTGCAAGGTGAGATGAAGCCAGAGGCCTTTGGGAAGTTTTCAGCTGGAGATAAGGGAGGACTCAGGAGGGCTAGATGGTTACCAGAGAAGATCAGGAAGCAGGGTAAAGCTGGAAGAAACCGATAATCTCAAACATACTTGACTTTAGGCCCATCCCATATCTCTATCACTTCAGATTAAGTATCTTGATCCAGCATCCTGTTTCATCTCATATACGCCTGTGCCTGCCATGCTTCCTTTGCACTAACTTCTTTCAGTTTCTCCAACTTGCCAAGCCCATTCCTATCTTAGGGCCTTTGCACATGCCACTCTGTCTACCTAGAGTGCCTCCTCTCCCACATCCCATATTTTAATTATTGGGTTATTTGTAGTCAGGTCTCAGTCAAATGTCATATGTTTGTGTATCCCATCTGGAGCAATTCTCACCCAGTCATTTGCTGTTACATTACCCTATTTTATTGTCTTTATAGCAAGTATCACTCTCTAAAATCAATTTGTTTTTGTTGACTTATTTAGAGTCTGAGTGCTCCTACTGGAATGTAAGCACTATGAGAGTTTTTTCTGTTTAATTGGTTATTACATCTCTACTGCTTAGAATAGGAGCAGGCTCATAGCCAGGGTTCAGTAAATGCCTGTCCAATGAGTGAATGAGTGAAGGGATGCATACAGGCCAAAACATCTGTAATTAAATGTTGGTTACTAACCTGAGAAAGAGCAGTCTGCTCTGATATATGTATGCATTTCTAATCTTTTGTGTTGTGTTTTAAGAAACTGATACTAAGGGTGTAATAAATATTAAATAATAAAATATGATCTTTACAAATTCTACTCTTGCTTCAGTAAACTAAATTAATCCTTTGTAGACTAGGTTATATAGGGTCAGAGGGTAAAGGCAAGCTTTGCAGTGACAAGTCCTACCCATAGGAAAGCTAAGAGATCCTCATTTGAGTGAAAAGTTATTGAATTTAAAGTTAAAGTAAAAAGTAAACTTTGAGTTCGTATGAAGGTAAAACAAAAATCAGCATGTGTATTAAGTTTAAATAGTTCTGTGTTTTAACTGAATAGTTTATAACTTGGCCGAAAACTGGTTTTTTAATTCTCTTGGGCAAATCCTAGCTGATGCCTGATAGTGGTATTCATTTATAGATGAGGCAGGGCCTGGCATGGGGGCTTTGACTTAGTGGATAGGAGCTGTTGCTAGGGCCGGATTAGAACGTAAGCTTCCTTGATTGTAGCCAAGACCAAAGGCTAACAGCTGGAATGTGGGGCAGCTCTGGCCCATGGGACAGTGGCCTGATCTTTCAGGGCGTCAGTCTCTTGACTGGAAAGTGAGGAGGTTGAAATGAGTAATGGGGTTAAAACCAATAACCCCATTGCTGTATCCTTGTCTTTATTCCTTAGGTCTGGTCCCTTACGCTGAATCCATGTATACACTATGGCCATCAAAAGCTATTTATTAATACACTTTATATTTCGAAGAGACTTGCAATCTGGATAAAATTGAGGCCATCCCCTCTTTTCACAATCTCCCATACCATACCCACAATACCTAGCCTTTTAGCAGCCTCTTTTATTTCTATCACATTTATCTAAGATTCTTTTCTTCCCTTGGCTGATGGTACTGCATCTGTGCTTGGGAGAGACTGTTAGTCAGCAGACGATGCCTGGGAGCCTGGGACTCCTACAAATGCCTGTGAGGCCCCTTAGATACCCACTTCATTAACACGAGCCCACCTGATGCCTCAGTGACCTTCCTAAAGTGCTCTGAATGTGGTCAGCCAGTGGACATAGAAGCATGATACTTTGAGGACAACAAACTAGGTTTTGACTTTTCTGCTTGCTAAGGCAATATTTAACTTGGAGGAACAGAAGGCTTCAGCTCAAGAGTCCTTGGTAGGCATTTTCAAAAAATTAAGAAATATGAATCTTGCTAAATGTTAATGAATTAATCATATTGCTCTCAATTATACATGTATGAATTTATTTATTTATTTTGAGAGAGAGGAAGCTAGAGCTGGGGAGAGGCAGAGGGAGAAGGAGAGAGAATCCCAAGCAGGCTCTGCACTGCCAGCGCAGAGCCCGACATGGGGCTTGAACTCATCCACCATGAGATCATGACCTGAACTGAAATCAAGAGTTGGATGTTTAACTGACTGAGCCACCCAGGCACCCTTCAATTATGTATTTAAAAATTTTTTTACCGTATAGACATACAACATTTTAATATATTATATAGCAGCATTACTGCCCCTACTATATTCAATGCTTGTAGTACATTATTCACATTTTATAGATGTTGGAACATAATCCATTTGACATTATAAAACTTTAAAGCATGGCTCTTTGAAATATGGATATCCGTTAAGAGATATACCAAGGCCTTATTGAGAAAGAAGCTGTGTATTTTACCTTTCCTTTTTTCTCCCCTCCATTTTGTTCTTTTTCAGTTAAGGTAATATAGTTTTGTAAGAAAATACAAAAAAACACAAAGAAGAATATTTTTAAAAATTGCTCTTGACTGCACCATCAGAAAATAACCTTATATGAACTTCAGTGATCATACTATACACACTATTTTATAGGCTGTCCTTTATATAAAATATGAACAGTATGTTTTTATTTAATGAAATGTCCTTAATAACTGCATGATATTTCATCCTGTAGCGGCCTGAAGCAGGCATCCTATTTCTGACTAGCTGTGACCATGTGCTCATCTCATTCCTCAGTTTCCTCACCCACCAAATGAGGATAACAATAGGACCAGCATTATATCAGTTCCAGTGAAGATTAAGCAGGTTATGACACATGATCCTTAAAACACGTAGAGCACTTACAATAATGCTCTAAATAGATACTCTTACTGAAGCATTATTATTCTATTGTTATCTATAATTTTGTTATTTTAATAGAATAATTGCCTGGCACTTGATAAGTATGCAATAAATATTATTATTAGCTATATTGTTTTCAGCTTTTAGATGTAATAATACTATGATGAGTATTTTGAAGAAAAAAGTCTTTTGCTTTCTCTTCTTACTTCCCTCAGATAAACTTGTAGAAGTAGAATTCCATCTTTGCTACGTATTGCTAAATCACCCTCCAAAAAGGTTGTGCTAGCACACACTGACTGTAGCACTGTGAGAGAGGAAGCCACCCACTTGACAGCAAGTGATGTGGTTTCCAGAAGTGCTTCATGATGGAAATGGCAGCTGCTCACATGAGGATTTTTGCAGTTCTCCAAAATCACTGACTGTTGAACAATTGGGATTTATTCAGCTTCCCCTTCCTTTTCAGTGTTTATATAGTCTTCAGACAAAGATGAAAAATTTAAAAACATGTTTATTTTTTGTGTGCTTAGTATATTAGTCTAAAGTTTGATTAAGAAGATGTTTGTATTGATATGAAAATTTAACTCGTCTATATTGTTAGGATGGTTTCCCCCAGTGAAACTAATATATGTTTCTTTATTTTTAAGAAAAAAGCAACAAGCCTTGGGAGCAGTCAGCCTTCCAGAACCCATGCTGGTGGAACAGCCCCGGCCACCAAGGTCAGTCATTTCATGAGCGTGAAATGCTCAGGCATTTAGTACCTATATATCATGGTAAGTTTTGAACAAAGTATCATTTCTGTGCTGGGGGCAGAGAGGGGAATCTAATTTCTTAATAATGGTCTGAATAATTTAAAACCTAGTAAAATCATTTATGCTACAGTTTTTCCTGGTGTATAATAAGTGTTCAATAAATATCATTATCATAATACCTATAGATAATATCAGACTTCTACACATACTGTAAGTAGAAATATACTGCTCTTATTTCTTCAGAAAATAATTTAGATTCTCTTCATGAGCATTAGCCACACTAGGCTCTCTGCTAAATGCTCTGTGTAATTATCTTCTTATTCTTTCCACAGAGTTATAATTATTATTCCTTTATACCTGAGGAAGCCAGGGCTCAGAGACTTTAAGCATCCTTGATCAGATTGAAAAGCTAGTAGGATGGAACTAGGGTTCAAACCCAAGTTTCCTGTTCAGACAAGGTCCTTGATACTTCTGGATGCCAGAAGCTCTAATCGAGCCTCCTTGGTAATACAGCACTTCAGAGCCTTATTTTAAAAAATTGTTTTTAATGTTTATTTTTGAGAGAAAGAGTGGGGGGAGGGACACAGAATCTAAAGCAGGCTCCAGGCTCTGAACTATCAGCACAGAGCCCAGTGCAGGACTTGAACCTACAAACTTTGAGGTCATTACCTAGGCTGAAGTCAGATGCTTACCCGACTAAGCCACCCAGATGCTCTTATTTATTTATTTTTAAAAGGTTATGTATTTATTTTTGAGAGGGAGGGGCATTAAGAGAGGGAGAGGGAGAATCCTAAGTAGGCTCCATGCTTACGATAGAGCCTGACACAGGGCTCCACTGTAGGATCATGACGTAAGCCTAAATCAAGAGTCAGACACTCAACCTACTGAGCCACCCAGGTGCCCCTATATAACTATTTTAAATAAGCATATTCCCTTTAAGACTGGGCAGGAGGACTTCTGCACAGCAAAACAAACCCAAGTTGTCTCTTTGCCACTTATTCTTAGCAAGTTTACCTATCCCCACTGAGCCTCAGTTTCTTCATGTATAAAATGGGGATAGGACATCTTTTGACAGATCTGCCAAGAGTCTTCAATGAAATAAAATATTTAAAACACTTATCCCTCAGCCTGGCGATTAGTAGGTGCTGGGGAAAATGTATGTCAGCTGTGACTACTCCTGTTGGCCTCACACTCTGTTTGAATGTCTAGAACTAAAAAAGATGTACTGGGGTGCCTGGGCAGCTTGGTCATTTAAGCATCTGATTCTTGATTTTGGCTCAAGTCATGATCTCACCAGCACCTTGTTTGACTCCACACTGTGAGTGTGCAGATTCTCTCTCTCTCTCTCTCTGTTTGGGATTCTTTCTCCCTCCCTCTCTGCCCCTTCCCCACTCGCTCTCGCTCTCTCTATCAAAATAAACAAACACTTAAACATATATATATTAAATAAAAAAATATTTTTAAAATGCCATATATGTCCTGTCTTTTATAGAATTGGAACCTTTATTTAACTTATGCTTAAATTATGCCTCTAAACATGAGAAACCTCAGTAGAAAACCCCACCCCTATGAGATTTAGTGGATCAGGTGGAGATGGTTTCTAAAATTTGGGATTATCTAAAGGCTTGGGGGGAGGTGTTTAGTAGATTGTGGAAATTCACACCTAGTCAGTCATTAAAAATTCTGTAAAGAATTTTGGCATCTCCCCAAACCCTGCTGTGTCTCAGGAAGCTGAGGGAGGGAGTGTAGCTGGGAGATGGAGGCATTTTAGCCACATACTTAGTATTTATTTAATGTCAGACTTGACCTTCTTTCCTTAGCTTCTAAAACATTGTCATCTCCTTACCTATGTTGTCCTCTCTCCTGTTGTGCTTTCCTGAGTTGCTTTGCTTCACCAGTTTCCTGAGTATTAGTTTCTCCAGAGTTTCATTCTTCAGTCCTCTCTTTCTCAGATCCTTAACATTTATAAAGTATTGGAACAAAAAATAAATGTATATGTTATACTTGCTTACTTCTTCCTTTGATGCCCAATTGAAAGGGTTGTAACTCAGCAGCAGCATCACTTTTTAAAAACAGGTCATTTCCTGGGGCACCTGGGTGGCTCAGTCAGTTGAGTGTCTGACTTCAGCTCGGGTCATGATCTCACGGTTTGTGAGTTCGAGCCCCGCATCTGGCTCTGTGCTGACAGCTTGGAGCGTGGAGCCTGCTTCAGACTCTGTGCCTGCATCTCTCTCTGCCCCTCTCTCACTCATGTTCTGTCTCTCTCAAAAATAAATAAACGTTAAAAAAATTTAATAAAAGGTCATTCCCATGTATCATTTAGAAAAGCTGGGTATTAGGAGCGCCTGGGTGGCTCAGTTGGTTAAGCGTCTGACTTCAACTCAGGTCATGATCTCACGGTTCGTGAGTTCGAGCCCTGCCGTCGGGCTCTGTGCTGACAACTTAGAGCCTGGACCCTGTTTCAGATTCTGTGTCTCCCTCTCTCTCTGACCCTCCCCTGGTCACGCTGTCTCTTTCTCTCTCTCAGAAATAAATAAAACATTTAAAAAATAATAAAGTTAAAAAAAAAGAAAAGCTGGGTAATAGCATTTGTGATTAACTGAAACCTTTTACTATACAATTAATTATAATGACACAGGCAACATAATATTACCCTGACACATGACATGACAAAATAGTAAATATAATTGGCAGTAAGAATAGCTTTGTTTTTCTTGATTCTTGATATACTGAACTTGAAAGTTAAGTGATAATTTTACCATTATAAAGAAAACTTTATAGCCCATCTTAAAAGTTAAATATTTAATCTGAAACTTGTCATAAGCTGTGAGATTTAGAATGGTTACCATGTATTCAGAACTGTTTTATGATTCTTTATGTAAGAACTGTTTTGTGTTCTTACAAAATGAGTAATTATGTGCATAAATAATATCACTGCCATGCAGTTCTGGGCTTGGAAGATCCAAAGCACTTAAGTGACACAGATCTTTCTAACTGAAAATAATTATCATAAGATGCTTAGCACTTAAAATTCTATTTTTGATAAATTAATAATGAGGGCTAATAAAGTTGCAGAAATTATTTATGCTCTTATTAAAGCCAGTATGAAAATAGTTGTGATCTGTAAGCAGTCATACAATTGTATTGTTGGAAGAGTTCTCAGGCAGGGTGGATTGTAACTACCTCCTCCTTCAGGTGAGGAAACTTGCATTCGGAATGTGTCTGCAGTAGGGGCACCTGGGTGGCTCAGTTGGTTAAGTGTCTGACTTCGGCTCAGGTCATGATCTTGCGGTTTGTGGGTTCGAGCCCCATGTTGGGCTCTGTGCTGACAGCTCAGAACCTGGAGCCTGTTTCAGATTCTGTGTCTTTCTCTCTGCCTCTCCCCTGCTCACACTTTGTGTCTCTCAAAAATAACAAACATTAAAAGTAAAAAAAAAAAAAAAAAAAAAAAGGGATGTGTTTGTAGTAGGCTACAGCTATTAAGATATATAGGCTAAGGTTATTAGTTCCAAGTGGAATCTACTCTATTTTAAGCCAAAAAAGAATTTTTTAAGGATTGGTGGGTAGCTTGTGGAGATCCCAAGGGCTCCAGTAGAAGGACTCTAAAGCTTCACAGCCATGAACAACACCCAGCTTCTTTTGTTGCCACCACAGCTAAGCACCTGTTGCATTTAGGACCAGATGCCAGAAACTCTGCCACCACCAATCTTCAAGACTAATGGCCTTGTCTTACACAGATTCCTTGGTCAGCAGTGATCTCTCTCTCTCTCTCACTCTCACTGGTCACTTTCAGCCTCATTCTTTTATGTGTGATTATGTGTGTCTTTTATGTGTGATTGACCAACCTAAGTCATGTGCCTCAACTCTGCTACGAGGGACCTGAGGATGAGTGCTCTGGATTCTATTTGGGAAGGTGCATATGGAGTAGGTGGGAAATTTATCAATATGTAGTGAGAGTTTTCAAAGGTGTGGCCAGCTGCCAACTGACAAATATCTACTACAGAAAGGAAAACAGGAGAACTGCCTAACTGAACCATAATATGTTGTTCAGCAATATTAGAGGGAAAAAAAACAACAACCCCAAAAGGCGTGCCTGGGTAGCTCAGTCAGTTGAGCACCCAACTCTTGTTTTTGGCTCACATCATGATCCCAGGGTTCTGAGCATGGAGCCCTGCTTGGGACGCTCTCCCTCTCTCCTCCTCTTCCCTCCTCTCTGTCTCTCCCTCTTTCTCTAAAACAAACAAACAGAAGAGGAAACAAACAAACAGAAGAGGATACAAACATTTCCCCCAGCTACAGGAGAGATTTGTGAAGGAATAAGCACCCATCAGAAAATTCTTTTGTGATTTTGCTTCTGGTTTTGCCATAAATGGCTGTGCTGGCATTAAATAGCTCTCTTCTCAGCTGCTAATTTTCTCATCCATAAGATCAGTGAGAGGCTGGATAAGCTATGTGTGTTCTGCATTCAGTGTCAGCCTTACCCCCACCGTACCCTTGGACCACATGTAGTTTGGGAGATGATTCTGTGTGTTAAGTAGGCAAGCATGCTTACTTTAATAGTTGTGTATGTATTTTAATGTGCCAAAAAATAAACTAGCACTTCAAACTCATGATCCCAAGGACCCCAGGCTAAATTAAAGGTTAAAAAGTAAATGTATTTTTTAAAATATTAAGTAAATATAATATAGCCAATTACAAATGTTATAGGCAACGTGCCAATAACCATTGGGAAAACAAGATTCAGAGCAGTAATTGTCATACTGTAATATTCATATTGAATCAGTGGGGTTTTTATTGAAATGAGTTTCTGATTCAGGAAGTCTGAAATGAGGCTGAGATGGTTTTTCTAACAAGCTCCTAGTTGCTGCTGCTGCTGCTGCTGGTCTTGCAACCACACTTTGAGTAGTGAGGATGCTGAATTGTTCTGATTGTGGGTAGTTTAGACTACCTGTACCCTAGATTACATA